CTTCCTTTGAGGTAGGGACCTTTGGCCACACGCTCCAAGGCATTCCCCCCATCCAACCTGACATCTTCCAAGTGTGTTCCTAGGACATGCTGCCTGGGGAATTTGGGAGTCTCTGCACATCTGGGGCGCGGGGGTGGGGCGGCCAAGGCTCGTTTCAGAAGGAAACCGAGTTCCCATTTCGAACAGGGGTGTGAACTTCAGGCCATGAAAAGCCACCAGTCTTTCCGTATCACAGCTCTTCTGGTTCTGCTTTAATAAGTAGAATTAATAAATTCAAATGCATACTAAGTAAATAAATAAATAATATTTTAAAATGCAGCCAGGACCGATCCAGGGTTTTTTGGGGGGGGGGGTTTGGCGCTGGGATGTCATGAGCACGTACTTGTCGGGAGGCTTGTGAGTCTATAAAGGCTGAACGCTGACAGCTGCTCAGCCCCCCTTTCCTGGCCAGGGGCAGAGCACGGGGAACAGGGGGGCACCCAGACTCACCAGCAGGGCGGCCGTGCCGAGGGGCTCACCCACCCCTTTGACTCTAGTCCTGAAGACCAGCCCTTTGCCCCCTCCAAAACAGACGAGACGGGGGAGACTCAGCCACGTTCGTTTAGGCTTCCCCTGCTCTGAACCGCAGAGCCTGCTCGGGTGGGTCAGTATTGACTCGGGGGGGCACTGTGGGGCTCACTGCACAGTGGGGGCCCAGCCCCTTGGTTTGGCTTGGGGTTTACAGCGGGCTTCTCCAAGTGCGGTCTGTCTGGGTGGTCATGAGGATGTTTGGGGAGGGGGCAGATGGGCGGAGTGAACTGTGAGTGATCTGGCTATGCCGGGGGGGCGTGTCACAAATTAGTCCTAGTCAAAGGGAACCAAAAGGCCAACACCAGTTGTGTCTTTCCAAAGGAAGCCCAGCAGGTCACCCACACGTGCAACTAGACACCCCCCACCCCCCCAGTATCAGTGCTGGCAGCCGTGTTTGCACAGCGGGCAGACCTTTTCTGGCTTGGCCTCCTGGGTACACCTGCCTGTGAACCAGCAGGCACAGGGTCTGGTAATCCAATGGAGGTGTGCGAGGGTAGCCGCCCCAGCCATACCTCGGCTGCTTTGCCAGAGACCCGTTCTTGCTCCACCAAGCCTTGGCCGCCACAGCGACTCCGTCTGCCACAAGCGCGGGGCCTCCCACTGCATCTGCTGCTCCTGCCTAGCCTGACTTGAGCCCAGACGTGCCACACCTGGCCTCCCCAGGATGTTTCGGGCAGGAGGAGGAGCGAAAGGCGGCAGCTGAGAGCAAGCAGAAAGGCAGCGGTGCTCATCCCCTGGGTGGGGGGAGGAAGGGAGGGGGGCTTCTGGGGAGGGAGCTTTCAACTCACAGACCAGTCTCAAGGGTTGCCAATAAAGATTGACTTTATTTCGGGGAGGGGGTGATGCCAGCTGCTTCCCAAGGAGTCCAAAGGCCTCACAGCAAACGGGGGCCCAGCACCACCTGCCCAGTGTCTGTCATCCGGGGGCTGGAGAAACCCCCCGTCACACAGCCGAAGGAGCAAGCGAGCAGCCGGGCCCAGGGCTTCAGTCTAAGACAACTTCTGCAGAGGAAAGACAGGGGAAGTGCTGGGGGCGCGGGAAAGGAGCCGGGGGGGCACCCCCATTCAAAGCAGGAGGGCTGGAAACATGACAGGCAGCCGTGGGAAAGGTTCTGTCTTGCTCCACAGCAGAAGGGATCCCCATCTTATCCAGACCGTGGCCTCCCCGCCTGGCGCTCCAAAGGCACAGGATATGACCCCCATATAAGACCCATATAAGAGTAAAAGGGCTGCACCCCTGGCAGCAAAGAATGCCATGTGGCTGCCACTCCGTGATCCCACAGACTCATCACTCCAGGGCTGTCCACAGCGTCAGGTCAGAAGTGTCAAGAGGGTGGCCACACTGGTGTGATGGAGGCTTCATCTGCTTTTTATGTTGCCCTCCTGTGGGCACCCCCGCAATCCCTCTGTGAGACCCAAGAGCTGACGGGGAAGACCCGATTTGCTGGCCGATGCCCAGGTCATGTGATCTTCTGTTCGGAAAATGTTCCCACCCGGGGGGCACAAATGCACACCATTTTGGAACCCTCCAACCAGGCGCCTGTGCAAAGGGGGGGAGGCCCGGCTGGCCCCTCTCCGCTCTGCTTCCACCCAGGAATCGCCTCCAACTCCTGAGTGAGGCCCTGTGCCCTCCCAGCTCCTTTGGCAGAGCCGCTCCAGAATTGCAGCCCACCCCTTTCTCCTGCCGCACTGGAGGGACCCTTCTGTGGGTGGGCGGGGAGGCAGCCCCGCCTGGCCACAGAGTCTCCTTCTGGGCCAACCAGCTCCAAGGCTCAGGGCCACCTCCCTCCTTCTCCTTCTGCACGGAGCATGAGAGACCCAAGGGCAGCGGGGGGGGGGAGCGCGGGGGGCCCTGTGAGGTGCGCCCTACCTGGCAGGCTGTCGCCACAGGCTCGCTCGCACTCGCGCCTGGTCTCAAAGTTGTTGCTGTTGCCCCCGCAGCCGCTGTAGGTGAAGAGCAGGCAGCGCCCCTGCGTTGAGCTGTAGAAGTAGCGCAGCAGCCTGGGCCGGCAGGGCCCTTGCACGGGGGGCAGCTGGCATCGCGGGTGGTGCGCTGGAGCGGACAAACGAAGGCGGCGCTCAGGGGTGCCCGGCCTGGCCAGAGCAGAGGACCCGGGGGCCGGGGGCGGGGGGTACCTGGGGCCAGGCAGGCGCG